CTCTTTCTTCAAGCTTTTATTTTTATTCTAATTTCAAATTAATTGATTGAATTTAATATTTTCAATAAGCAAAATACTTGGTTCTATTAAAAAGTCTTCCAAAAAAAATACAATATTGTTTTCTAAATCTTTATTTGAGGAATATTAGCAGACATATATATATATATATATATATATATATATATATATATATATATATATATATATATATATGGTGAAATCTCCTGTCATACTCAATGTATGATGATCAAGAAGCTCAGTTCCTAGGAACCGAGAGCCAAACACAAGATATATATATATATATATATATATATATATATATATATATAGAGAGAGAGAGAGAGAGAGAGAGAGAGATAGATAGATAGATAGATAGATAGATAGAGAGATCAATTCCCTGTTAATTTAAATTATAAATATATATATATGTGTGTGTGTGTCTGCGCTTTGTTGAATAATATAAACATAGTGTGTCTACTTATTTTTTATATAGATCCTTGACTAATTAGTTTCTTGATATTGAGATGAAATCCACCAATGTCGCAGATTTTTTTGACCTAAGTACTTTCGACCTTTTCTAAGATCATCTTCAGGAGTAAATTACGATGACAAAGATATTATTGTAGCTGAAATTATATAAGTTATGGACATACATGATTTCGATGTACAAAACTTTTAAATTGCATGACTTTACAAATATATGCACGTGTTTCTTCTACACGGGGAAATCCTTCCAGGAGGTAGACTATGATGGCTTTCCCTAAATACCTGTCTTTCCAACTACTCGAAACTGTACAAGAAAAGTGGTTGTGTATATACTTGAGTCTTTAGGTAGATTTTGGACGTGTTTATATTTTAGTCTATAGGAAAACATTGGTCGTGTTTATACTTTAGTCTATAGGTAGACATTGGTCGTGTTTATACTGAGTCTATAGGTAGATTTTGGTTGTGTTTATACTTTAGTCTATAGGTAGACATTGGTCGGGTTTATGCTTGAGTCTATAGGTAAACATTGGTCGTTTTTATACTTTAGTCTATAGGTAGACATTGGTCGTGTTTATACTTGAGTTCATAGCTAAACATCTCTCTGATAGGTAATCCCTTTTACTGTGGGGATAGTTGACATTCTTTTCTATACCGTGTAGGCAAAACGAGGATATCTCACTCAAATATGAACAAATGACTCAGGAGAAGACGTGTCTATAGATTACGGAGTTATTTTATGTAAGAATCTAATGAAGACAATCTGTTTCCTTCAGTAGAAACCTCTGCTGATTTTGTTGGGAGAGAGTCACACAAAAATCTATGGCAGGATACACTGGATACATCCTTTAAACAGCAGAGATCTTCAAGAATTATTGTAATAATAATAAACAAAAATATTCAAAAGGATTCCAGGGTAGTATTCGAAGCCGGTACGTACTACTCCCCGACCGGTGTGGAGCTTGATTGGGGCCATGAGCTGTGCTTTGTCAGCCTCGCTCTCTTATCAACATTTAGACCTACATTTATATACGACGCAGATTAAACTAAACACGGTTAAATATTAAAGGATGAAAAAGTTTTAGTGTTTTTTGAAGTCATTTTGTTTTGAAGTCATTTTGTTTTGAAGTCATTTTGTTTTGCAAGTCCAAGAAATCCATTTATTTATTTGGCTCATGCTAAATCTCGGAATAAACAATAAAAATCCATTATTTTTTTTTATCCATGATTTTGGATGTGTAAAAATATTCAACTTTTTAATAAGAAAAATCTCAAATTAATGTTAAAGATTGCCGCACAACATTCAAGATGGAATCATCTATTATGACATGTCTCTATTATGACATGTCTCTAATTTGTATTTGGATATATTATATTCATCTGAATCTTTCTAGATGAATTGTTCACCTATATTGCATATAATCAATTATTGTATGACTTTAGGTTACAATATTAGGTTACAATAACATTTTTATTTCATATAAATACAACCTTACGAAAATCGAGATTTAGTAAATGGGGAGACCAGTATCATAGATTCGGGGGCGAGGAAACGAGACGTTGCAATGGCCCTGGATACAGTTGTTTGTTTGCGAATATGTAGTGCTAGTCCACAATGTTCATAGAAGGATGATCAAGGTTCAAATTCATTTTAAGCCATTGATCTTGGAAAAGCAGCTGTATACAGCTGACGAGTTTGACGCCGTGCATGACATCCAGATGAAAATCTCCATCTGACGAGGCTATTAAAGAACATGAATCTGGTACAGTTACTTGTTTGTGATTCTGTAACACCAATCCACAAGTTCCACTTCCTTCCCTCGAAGCAATTTTACTCTTTCATCTGGGAAAGTCGTTGAATACAGCTGATAGTTTAGATATTTCTAAAAGAGTTTGGTGCCATTCATGACATCCGCCTGAAACTCTGAATCTGACTATTTAAGATTATGAATCTGGTATAGTTTCTTGTTTGTGATTCTGTAACGCCGGTACACAGTGTCTGATGAAGGATGGTCTGCCCTGCGGCGTACACGTTTCCTCCCCTCGAAGACATTTTTAGCCATTGATCTGAAAAGGCAATTTTACACAGCTGACAGATTAAATATTTCTGAACGTGTCTTGTGCAATTTATGTCTTCATCAGACGAGAGGCTATTTAAGAATATGAATCTGGTACATTTCTTCGTTTGTGATTCTGTAAGGCCAGTCCTTCAGGTTTGTTGAAGTATAGGTCCTCGCTGAAGTCTACACGTTTCATCCCCCACCCACAAGCCATTTCTAGGCGTTGATCTGAGAAAGCCATTGTACACAGCTGACATTTTAGATATTTCTGAACAAGTTTGGCGCCATGCATGACATCAATATGAAAGTCTCGATATGAGGGGGCTAAGAACAGGACTCGAAATTTCAGGTTAATGTTTGAGTTTTATAGCAATTTGCGGTGTTGGGCGAAACTGTCTCTAGTGCAGCATATTCTTTGTTCAATTCCCTTATCTCTTATTCTTAATTCTGATCTATAGGCAGAAGTGTTTATAAAAATAGGCACTTGTACAAATATTTCCTTATAGCATATGCATTACAATATATTGCCAAATTAGCAAAATTCCAATTTCATATGTTGATAGTCCTGCTAATCTAATAAATATAACAATACAATATTTGAATTGAATGATATTACCGATAGGCATTTATCAAAATTAATTTAATCTGACTCAAAAGTATACTCATGGAGCACCATACATTTTTTTCCAACGATCAATGCTTTGTAGGAATAAGCAATCCATAGAGAAAGGTTTTTCAGTGAGTTGGTTCTTAAACGTCAAGCAATGTAGGAGTGTTCATTTTCTTGTCTGAAACGGCTCCCCAATGATGAGGAACGCCTATTGGATAGTTATTAGATGTCGACATTGATAAAATAGACAAAATTCTCCGTGTTGAAGTTGTTTCAACTCTGGACCCAAAATATCTAGCGATCACCGGACGAGAGGGAAGATGTTGTCCATTATGCCTATCGATTTTTTTCGTTTGTAAGTATTGCTTAAGTAAAGGAATTCTTCTAATTAAGCTCAGAAAAATGAAGCTACCCAGGAATATCTGTGGCTTCCGTCGGGCTCCAGTAAAGCCATGGATCTATGCACAAAGGTTTATGCCTCAGCTACACAGGAATAAATAATTCAAAATGATTCCGTTGTTCACAGCTAACATAGAATTCTAAAAGTTACTTAGAAGATCTTAAGCTTTAAACCGATGAAAGACGAAGTTTTGAAATAAAAGGAAATCTTGGGGGGGGGGACTCTCTTCAAGATTCTAAACCCTGACCATCACCAGCAGCACTTGGACGTTCCTGAGTTTCATCTGTGACACAGAATTAACACCCTTTGGGTCTCTGCGTCTCGAGTCGGAAAGAACAAATCCCGTGCAGGAAAGACCTGGTAAAGCGTTTATAGTCAGCGACAACCGCGCTCTCGTCGTCCAGGCCTGCTTAGAGGGAAGTGAAGCCATTGCTTCCGGTGGTAGGATGGTGCAAACAAAGACTTCACCGGCTTCTTTCGTTTTCCTTACCAAAAGCTAACAAATTATAGAGTCTTCTTCTTTATCCATTTCTTTAGAGTCTCATCTGAACTGTTCGTGTGAAGTTCTTTCTTGCCGTTCGAGGGTCGAGGTTCTTTTGGCAGCAGGCATCGTCCACTTCACTAAGGCTAAAGCAGATATCGTTGACATCCTGAGCATCTATAACTCAGCCCGAAATTATAGATAAACTACTGAGAATTACATGCTTTCTCACTTCATTAAGACCGCTTATTATTATCTGCGAACTTGGAATCGATATTTATTGTGTAATTATGGCACAAGGCCGAAATGTGGGGGAGGGATTGAGGCTGGTTATCACTAACTATCTTATATCTAGCTAATCCGATTCACGACCCATTCATACATTACAATTTCTACATTCACCATAAGAACTTGTCCGTCACCGATCAGTCCTCCATACACCATAATACCGCACCTTTTCAAGGGGGACCTAGAAAACGTGCCCCATGCCATAAAAATATAATGGTTATATATGTACAATTAAAAGTATACGGATAAATGAAATGAAATGGGGGTGTGGGGGGGATGAACCCAGGAATAAACTAAAACGATAGAGAAAAGTAACTAAACATAACTGCGAACTTGGACTCTATGTATATTTACTGTTTAGGCAAAGTTACCTTTGGCTTAAATATTTCATGTTTAGACGAGGTTATCTTTGGATTATATATTTACTGTTTAGGCAAAGTTACCTTTGGCTTAAATATTTCATGTTTAGACGAGGTTATCTTTGGATTATATATTTACTGTTTAGGCAAAGTTACCTTTGGCTTAAATATTTCATGTTTAGACGAGGTTATCTTTGGATTATATATTTACTGTTTAGGCAAAGTTACCTTTGGCTTAAATATTTCATGTTTAGACGAGGTTATCTTTGGATTATATATTTACTGTTTAGGCAAGGTTATCTTAAGTTTATATGAGCCAATGGTCATATCACGTTTAAACACCGGTTCTCGTATGATAACCGAAGTTAAGCAACGTTGAGCTTGGTCAGTACCTAGATGGGTGATCACTTGGGAATACCAGTTACTGTAAGCTTGGATGTGCGGATGGTGTAGTGGATAACGGCTCAGAATTGGAAATCGTAGAGCTGATTGGATTCAATTTCAATCCCTGGGTCAGGCACTATGTACCTGAACATTAAGAGGTCGAGCTAATACGTGAGCATTACTAAAAATAAGAACCAGATGAGATATATCCCTGAAACATGTGCATCGGAAATAGAAGAGTCTACACTTGTAGATTAAATAAAGTGCTCAGTTCTGAATTCGCTTTAGGTTACCCGTGTTGATAGACACCTGATGAAGGTCGGAGAGCAGCACCACCAAAAACGGTGTAATAACAACAACAAATATGAGGACAATAGTCCACATGTAAACAGTGCAAATAAACAATATTACTGTTATATTCCGTGGTAATTAGGAAAATATACTTGGAAAAAAGGTGGATAAAATAAGTAAAGGTTTACTGTAAGAAACCAGTACAATAAGAATAAAGGTAACAGTTATACACAATGTCATCGCAAGTCAATCTAGTATTGAGTGCTACTATCGGTAGTTCTCACGTAAGTCTGAGTCGTACTCAACAGATCTCAGCAAGTCAATATTTACTTGCCCCGCCCCTACGAGGGAAAGATGTGGCACAAGGCCGAGTTTTACGTGAGTTTTCCGAGCCCGTAGGCTCGGCCAAAAAATGCCCGTAGAAACTGTAAAAACAGAATCGGGTTGATCAACCTCCCCGAACGCGACCCTGACCTTCGGCAGAGCCTCGTCCGGGTTCCTCTCTGCCCGAAGGCAGAGAGTTCGACCGTCTTGCTGGAACAGATTCCAGCAAATCTCTGTAGTCCGTTACCTTACGGATACTTATAAGTTGTTACTACCTATAGTGTAGTTAGTTACTCATGGGGGTGACAGGTTATTCAATTACATTTATTATGCATTTTATTATTTCATTTTAGCACAGAACTTGGATCAATCTTCTTTTTTCATTGCTAATGACTTTTCTTTCCTCAAGATGACTTTTTTCTTTGTCGAGAAAGACATGTGTTTAACCGAATGATTCCCAGACTCCCAGGTCATATTCCTCCCCTTAAGATCCTTAGTTTCCTCTATTGCTCCCTCATTGCTAACTTTTCACCATTATAATAAAAATAAAATTAAAATACTGATTCTCAGAGACACAGGCCACATTCCTCCCAATGAAATCTCTAATTTCCACAAATCCTTCCGATTACTAACTTTTCACCATCATGAATATAAATACACTGCGTATTCGTAAACACTCAGCTAACATCGCTCCCCTTGAGATCCCTAATTTCCTCAATTCCTCCTTCATTAGTAATTTTTCACCATTATAAACGAATTACATGACACTACTCATTCTCAGACCCTCAGCTCACATTCCTCCCCTTACGATTCCAAGTTCTTAATACCTCCCCTAATTTAAGTTTTCACGTAGTAAATTTTTCAGCATCATACTTTTACGGTGATAATTTTAGAAAAAATAAATTAATTATAAAACCAACGTGCTTTATGAATTGTAAAATGAAAAACGGAAATCCTTATCTGAACAGGTCATAAAACTTTGACTTCATTCTGCCTCTGGCTAAAATTTCTCCCCTTGTGTTTGAAATACCTCCCCCGGGAAGCAGTTGCTCGGTATTTACGAATCACTGCTTTAAAACTAACCGATTTTCGCTTCCGTCAGTTCATGTGGGACCAATTTTCCTAATAGTCAAATTTTACTTCAGGCTTTTTACCGATCGCATTAAGAAAGTTGAATGATTCACTCCTAATTTTTCAACACGTTCACACATGCAAAACACTTTCATGCTTCATTGAATTTCACTGACAATGACTGTTTAAGTCTGGATTATATTTTCCCATCCGCCGTATGAATGGCCGCACATCCACAGATCAAATTTATAAAAAAAAAAAATCTCCAAAGTTTATAATATTTTATTGGGGTACTTTCACTAATCTCTACTCATTATCATGATCAGTTGTATTATCAGTTGGTAAATATGACAGTTAACAACACTGAAAGTGGATTCGGCGTGTCGAGTTCAAATTCTAGACTTGTCTGTTGCATTCACTTTCGCACAAGGTCCCTGGGGAAAGCATGAATCTATATCCCCTGCCCTTCTATGGGTTAAGTAGCAAACTGGTCTCTCATAAACCAGTCTAAGAATGAAAACATTTAATTCAAAACCATGGAGAAGGCAATTGGGAAAAAAGTCCAATATCTTTCTCGAGAAAAGCATGAAAATTCACAGGTAATAAAGAAAAGGAATCCATGGAGAGTCATAACCACTACACCCTGAAGGGACGTGGTATTCAAAAAATATTAATATTTTTTTACGGGCCTGAAGTTCAATGAGGGATCAAAGATTCTATGAAGATATCGACTGTTTGAAAAGTTTGGTGACCTTTGTTCGAAAGGTTAAAGTGATTCATTCAAAAAGTTATTGTGAATTCTTGCGAGCACTCAAACAACGCCAACGTTTCCTTATAAATGAACAGTTCTTAGCCTTAGAGATGAGGATAACAGATACTTCGCTTTGATCCGAGTCCGATGGCCAATGAGTGAAGAAAAGCCTGAATAGAGTAGTACTGGTTACTCGGTCAATGAAGGCCGAATATTTCCTTATAAGGGAATGGATAATATTACCGTTACCATTAGGGATGAGGATAACAGATACTTCACTTTGATCCGAGTCTAAGTTTTGATAGGGCAAAATGAGACTGACATCTCAAGTGAATAAAGATATTTAGTGAAGCATTTTATTTTAACTGATACAAGAAAATGATGTGTATTTTTTTTATTTCTCGTCGTTGATAAACTTGGTAACTGCTCTTGAGAAAGACTCCAATCAGTGGTTAACTGGGGCAAGAAATGGCTTGTAAATTGTAACGCACCAAAACAAAACTGCTTTAATTTAATCACCACAGAGACTCTTTTCTGTCTGTCATTGGCATAGCTGATGCTAAATTCCAGGTGAGTAAGGCACCTTCGCCTTCTTGACCCTCACGTTCTCCACTGACATGAAGTGGATTGACAATATCAACTGCTACGTCTACTTCAATATGTCGTGCCAGAAATGTTTTCTCGTCAGAATCCATCTGACATATTTACTATTCGTCGGTGCATTGAATTCTGTTGTCATATCTAGTCTAGTGCTACTGCTGACAAAATCCAAAGAAATATCTGCAATATAATCGATCCTGACCTGGCATCTCGGTTTCAGTCACTTTCTCACCGACATGACATGACTTCCCTCTGTCTTTTCTACTGTCTCTGACGAGCTTTTTTTTTTTTTTGCCTGGTGCTTCGACCCTACTACTAGATTGGCAACTAGGTATCACCGTTTTATTGTTGAACTAGCTAGATACAACCGCCACTTCTACTATTTTCTCGCACTCCCCACCTGTGGAACTCTGCTTCGTTTACTTACTTCTCTGATAACTGCGATCTTCGAAAATTTAAATGCAACTTCAATCGCCATCTTCCGTGTTCCTGAAGTCTGTTCCTTTTTTTTGTCCTGTCTTTAATCTTCCGTATTATCAGTGTTCTCTTTCATTTTAATTTCGTTCAAGACCCCCCCATACACACACACACACACACACACACAGAGACACACACACACACAGACACACACACACAGACACAGACACACACTTGCGTCCCAGTGGCTTTATTGCCTTGCTTAAGGGTGAAATGATTACAACAAAATCACGAAAAAATACAATGAACAAAAAACTGTTAGAGTTCAAAAACTCGGTATTTACCCGATCTCCCCACAGAGCGAGATGTGGTACAAGTCCAGTTTAACGTCTGGGTTTCTCTCTATCCGAAGGTAAAGAGTTCGACAAGCACTAAGAGTTTAGCGCGCGGCTAAGACCTAATGCTCACCTAGAGTTCAAAAACTCAAAAGTGATGTATTTTTTGCCTTTGCTAAATGTGTCTCTTCTTTTAGAGTACACAACGCAAGTCGACATGACGAACAAGGAAAACAAGGCCTTCATTGAGACTAATTATTAAAGTTTTAACCATTTAATATTTTACCCTGGAGGTTTTTTTTTTTTATCTGGATCAGGTACTTTGGAAATTATTTTAGTTTGATAAGATAAGATTTATTATGCGTTGTAAAAAAAACCCTTAAAGATGAAATCATCTCGACTTAATTGTTTTTACCTTTTAAGACTATAACCCTAGTTTTGCAAAATAAAAACATTAAGTATTCTTTTTTTCTATGTGCCATGTTCCTTCAGAATGTTAAAGGTCATGGCTCTACACAATTTCCTACCCGTTGTAGCTCTTAATAAATTTTGTCTCTTATGTCTCCTAAACCCTTTTCTACACAAACTCTCTTGGGAGATCATGCGTTGTTTTCCTCTCTCCTTCTTGTCTTCAATCTTTTCTGTAAAATATCAAATTTCCCAAGTTCTATTTCCCCATTATTGCAATTTTATAAACAAGAATTTTCTTTGCATGGTACAAGTCCCAGTCTCGCACTTTCAAAGTGAAGTGTCTATTTATGCACGGCAATGGTCCTTCTCGTGTATCTAAGCTTAATCATGAATTCTTTGAACAGAAAAGATTTACAGGATAGATGATTTAATAGCCGCCATGAAGTCCTGATTTGAATCCGATAGAACTTCTACATTCAATTGTGAATATGAAATTATATGAAGGTGGCAAACAATATAACAGCAAAGCAGACGTATGGGAAGCAATTAAACTTACCATGTCAGAAATTAAACCTGCTGAAATAAAAAAAATAACAAATTCAATAGATAATAGATTAATGGCTGTTATTGAGAAGAAGGGTCACGATATTAAAATACAAAAGATACAAAGACTTATACGTGTTTGTTATTTCTTCTATTACAGGTGTTGATCAATTTTTGATAATTTTATTACCTTAATTAATGGGATTATTTGGTTTAGCTTAATAACTTCAGACGCTGGTTTTGTTAGAATTCTTCAAATAACTTCAATAAAACATTTCATTGATGCGATCTAAAATTTTAACTC